GACGGCGGTCGCGGTGTGCGCGCGACGATGGCGCGCGCGCGCGTGCGGGCGCGCCCGTCCACGTAGTCGAGCGCTCGGAAGGCCATGTGTGCGCGACGTCTCGCGCGCGCGCCCGAGGTCGGGGGCGTTCACGTAGTCGAGCGCTCGGAAGGCTATGTGTATGCGCGACGATGCCGCGCGCGCCCCCCTAGTCGAGGGTCGACGCCCGTGGGGGGTCACTGTCGAGTCACGACTCGTGGATGCCACCGAGAGGGCGCGCGCAACCCTGGTCGACCGACATCAGGGGGTCACCGTCGAGTCATGACTCGTGGGTCCCACCGAGGGGGCCACGGACGCGTCCATCCCATCGCGCGTCCACCGTCGCGGTGATGACGCGCACACGTCCACGCGCGCGCGATGTCGAGCGCGACGACGGCGCGCGCGATCGGCGTCACCGCGCGCGCGCGCGGGCGACGATGGGCGGGCGACGATGGGCGCGCGACGACGCGATGGGCGCGAACGACGACGGGCGAGACGGTGGACGCGCGATGGGAAGGACGGGCGATGGCGCGCGGGAGAGACGGCGCGGGGCGGAAGATGGACGTGCGCGCGCGCGCGACGTCCGCGCCGGTGGTGCGCGCGAGCGCGAGGGCGTTCGAGTGGAAGGGTGCGGCGCTGAAACCGCTCGCGGCGTCCGTGGCGGTGGGACTGGCGATCAATTTCGTCGTCCCGCGTCCCGAGGCGGTGGTGCCGCAGGCGTGGGCGTTGCTCGCGATTTTTTTGTCCACGATCTCGGGTTTGGTGCTCTCGCCCTTGCCGGTGGGCGCGTGGGCGTTCGTCGGGTTGACGACGGCGGTGGTGACGGGGACGCTGAGCTTTCAAAACGCGTTCGCGGCGATGACGAATGATGTCATCTGGCTCATCGTCCTCGCGTTTTTCTTCGCCAGAGGATTCGTGCGCACGGGGTTGGGAGATCGCGTGGCGACCATGTTCGTTCGAGCGCTCGGGAAGAGCACGCTCGGGTTGTCGTACGGCTTGACCATCTCCGAAGCCATCCTCGCGCCGGCGATGCCGTCGACGACGGCGCGCGCGGGCGGGGTCTATCTCCCCATCATCACCTCTCTCGCGAAGCAAGCGGGCTCGGAGCCGGGTCCGACGGCGAACAAGCTTGGGTCGTTTTTGATCCAGACGCAGTTGCAATCGAGCGGCCACTCGAGCGCAATGTGCATGACGGCGGCGGCACAAAACTTGCTCTCACTCAAGCTCGCGGCGTCGCTCGGTGTGGTCATCGCCTCGCCGTGGATCTCTTGGTTCAAGGCGGCGTGCGTGCCGGCGATCATCGGTTTGCTCGTCACCCCGCTCTTAGTGTACAAGCTGTACCCGCCAGAGGTCAAGGACACGCCCGAGGCTCCGGCTGAGGCGGCGAGAAAGCTCAAAGAACTCGGCCCGCTCTCGCAGGATGAACTCATGGTGGTTATCACGATGGCCATCACCGTCTTCATGTGGATCTTCCAACCGTTCGGCATCAAGCCGGTCGTCGCGGCGATGCTCGGTATGTCGCTTCAGCTCGTCTCTGGCGTCATCACGTGGGCCGAGTGCCTGAATGAAAAGGGCGCTTGGGACACCCTTTTGTGGTTCGCCGTCCTCATTGGCATGTCCGCCCAGCTCAACGCGCTCGGTTTCATTGATTACCTCTCCTCCACCGTCGCCGGCGCGCTCACGGCGGCCAACTTGGCGTGGCCGCAAGTGATGCTCATCCTCCACGGTTGCTACTTCGCCATCCACTACTTGTTCGCCTCGCAAACCGCGCAAGTCGCGGCGTTGTCCACGGCGTTCATGGCGATGATGATGGCCTCCGGTGCGCCGCCCGTACTCGTCGGCCTCACCATGGCGTTCCACACCAACCTCTTTGGCGCCATCACGCACTACGCGAGCGGTCAATCCGCGTGCTACTACGGCGCCGGCTTCGTCGAGCTCAAGGATTACTTCCGCTTGGGCGCGATCTGCGGCGTTGTCAACGTCCTTATCTGGGGCATCTTCGGCGGTCTCTGGTGGAAGGCGATCGGATTGTATTAATCGAGCCCTCTCCCGAGGATGTTGATGCGCGAGGAGAAACACAACAACCGCGTTCTGATTGAATTATTTGTTTGTCCTTATAACGTCAATCATTTTTTTACAACGATCCATCCTACGGACTCACAAACTCCCCGGCGCGTATCGATCCCACACCGGCCGCGCGCTGCTTCATCTTCTTCGCCATGCGACTCGGCTTGAGCTCGGCGACGGTGACCGTGTGCTGCGTCCCCGCCACCGGACACTCTTTCGACTTCGCTCTTCCGATGTACTGCACGATAGCCGCCCGTTCGTACACAAACCCACGGTTATCCTCAACGGGATCGTCCAAATCCTCGATCCGCCGCATCGTCATCGGACACTTTTCGTTCCTCAAACCGTCCGCGCCGTCGTCCTCCATCACCATGTCCTCGCCCTCGCCCCCGCGCGCCTTCTCCACAGCCTTATCGAACTCGATCACGAACTCCAGCTCCTTCGGCCTCGACGCCATGTAATACTTCGTCTTCCTATCGAGATACGCCTCGAAATCGAACGAATCACCATCCCCGTCCTCGCGCTCGCTCTGTTTCGATCTCGACGTCCCGTACTCGCGCTCGAGCGCCTTCAGGGCATCCATCGTCGCCAATTTCTCCCGTTTCAGTTCACACAGAGCCTCGATACGAGGGCGTAAGACGGAGGCCGACCCCGGCGTCGCCTTCTCCGCGCCCTTGGCCACGTCGACGCAACAATCGACCGCCGCGCGCAGATGTTCTAAAGTTTCATCAACCTCTCTGATTCGTTCTCTGACGCTCGTGGTGACGCGCAGGACGCCCGCGTCGGTGTCCGGACGCGGCGATGACGGCGTCGAGGATCCTCGCCGCATCGCGCGCGCGCGATCGGGTCGACGTCGACGTCGACGCGTCGCGGTGTCGCGTCGCGCGCGTCGCGTTTTTTGAAAATGTGGCATTGAAGTCATCGTACACCTCCATCGTCCACCGGTCACCGTTCGAACCACACCGCACCGCGCGACGCCCGCGCGTGGGCGCCGCGCGATCGCGCGGCGACGATCGAGACCCGTGTTCGCGCGCGCGTCGACGCGCGTCGTGCGATCGCCGGGGACGGGAGGCAACGAACGACCATCAAAATTCCATGGGCGCCACCGACGACGCGTTCGAGCTCCTCGCCCTGCGCGACGCCTTACCCGCGGTGAACGACCAAGTTCTGTGCGAAGCCATGAACGCGCGCGCGTCGAGAACGATCGAGATGCTGAACGCGCTGGTGCGGGCGAGCGAGACGCGGTTGCGGGTCGCGGAGACGGCGTTGGAGGACGCCGAGCGCCGAGCGACGTTGTTGGAGATCGCCTTGGAGGGGGTGAAAGGTGAATTTGAGAGCGGTGAGACGGATGTTGAGGTACGGACGATCGGTAGTGGCGACGTGGGGGCGACGGAGCCGGCGATGGAGACGGCGGAGAGCGCGAGCGAGGCGTCGTCGATGAGCGAGGCCGAGGACGCGGCGACGTCCGAACCGCCGGCGGTGGCGCACGCGGACGCCCGAGACGCGATGTTGGACGATCCGGTTTATAGTATTTATTTCAAGATGTTGAAAATGGGGGTGCCGGAGCAGGCGGTACGGAATAAGATGGCGCTCGACGGCGTCGACGAGAGCGCGTTGGATCGACGGTAGCGAGCGAGACCCAGCCTCGCTCGGCGGCGTCGGATCGACGGCAGCGGAAGACAGTTCTTCAATGTATTTTAGTAGTGCGCGGTACAAGTTGTCGTAGGACGTTGTCATCTTGGAACGAATAGTTGTATTTGCATCGCGACGGAGTTAAGCCCCGCCTAAACTACAAGTCAAATGGAAAGGGTTAGGGCGCGGAGATTTACTTCGCCGCGGCAGCAGCCTCGCGAGACCACTTCTCCTTGGCCGGGATGACTTCGGCCGCACCCCCAGCGCCGGCGAGCTTCTCGGCCGCGCTCTGGGAGAACGCGTGCGCCTTCACCTTCAACCCGTTTGTGAGCTCACCCTCGCCGAGCACCTTGAGCGGCAAGTCGCGGTAGTAGCCGGTCGCCTTGATGATGCCCGCGGACTTCAACGTCTCGATCGAGATCTCCGCACTGGCATCGATCTTATTAGCCACGACCGCCGCTTCGAGATCGCCGATGTTGACCGTCAAGAACTTCGGTCGACCCGCGCCCATGCCGCCGGCGATGCCCTTGAGCTTCGGGAAGCGTCGGAACATCGGCGTTTGACCGCCTTCGAAGCCGGTTCGCGTGCCCTTACCGCTCCTCGCGTTCTGGCCTCGCATACCATCACCGCACGAACCACCTTGGCCGGCGCCGTAACCGCGGCCGACGCGCTTCTTCTTTTGCCTCGCCCCCTCGAGCGGGCTCAGGTTGTGCAGGCGCAAGCGCTCGTCGCTCGCGACGACGTGCGTCTTCACCGACGCGCGCGTCACCGCGACCGGCGCACGAATAGAGCTCGCCACGGAGCGTCGCGCCGAGAGCGCGGACGGCGCAATCTGTACACGCATCAAAAATCACATCCTCGTCAGTCACCGCGCTCGCCGCATCGCGCGCGCATCGTCGACATCACCCCAATCCACCCCCCATCGCGGTCCCACCCC